AGTCTCATTCAGCCAGGTGTCCCCCATCATATATCTGTGCTTTTCGTTCTTCTGCCATAAGTGCGGTACCTTACATTTCTCCGTGTTGAATTTCACTTTGTTAGCTTTGGCCCATCTTTCTAATCTATTAAGGTCATTTTAAATTTTGAACCTTTCCTCTGGGGCATTAGCTACCCCTCCTAATTTGGTGTCATCTGCAAATTTGATAAGCATGCCCCCTATTCTTTCATCCAAGTTGTTGATAAAGATGTAGAGTTCCTCCTCCCCGCACAGATGTCAGCCAGCATTTGCAGGGTGGCCAGATGTCCTCACCACCAAGGAGGACAAGGCACCCCATAATCTAAGACATTCAAGGAAAAGAATGAAGGGCATTTTTGTTGTTGTTGTTGTTATTGTTGTTTCTTTATATGCCACCTTCCTCCCAATACAGGGACTCAAGACAGCTAACAAAATTTAAAACTGTCCAAGTCAAAACAATACAAAGCATTAAAAAACACAACATTTTAAATACCCCAAACAATCTCAAAAAGTTAAAAACATCACATATTCAAATTTTAAAATTCCTTCTAAAACTCTTATAGCACTCATGTCAGTGTGAGAAAGTCTGGCAGCATTAAAATGTTTTTTCTCTGCCAAAAGGATAGCAGGGATGGAGCCATCCTGGCCTCTCTAAGGAGGGAGTTCCAGAGCCTGGGAGCAGCCACTGAGAAGACCCTCTCTTGGTATTATTATTATTTTATTTTATTTTTTTAATTTAATTAATTTAATATCCCACCTTTCTCTCATTATAGGGACTCAAGACAGCACACAGCAAATATAAAACAATAGAATTTAAAACTATACAAACACATTAAAATGTATAAAGATAAAACTTAAAAAACAATTAAACAATTTAAAAAGTTAAAACAATTATGCGTTCAAATTTAAATTGTATTTAAAATGCTAAAGAATGCTTAACATTTGAATTACACAGCAGTTAAAGCCCAACCTTTGTCACATTGAAAAAGTCTGACAGCATAAGAATGTTTTTATCAGCCTCTAGAGCAGGGGTGGGCAACCTCAGGCCCATGGGCCAGATGCGGCCCCCCAAGGCCTTTGCACTGGCC